TGAATGCTTGTAATCTTATGGAGGTCAAAACTTGGGGATCACGGTTTACTTAGCGAGACCCTAAATAGCATAACTATCAGAGAGTTTTCAAAAGACTTGACAAAATTGTGTGTAATGATTTGTAAAGGTTAGAGTTTAGCGAATCCTATGTTAAGGTTCTCCCTAGATTAAACTCTGATTACCACCCCTCCTTGTGCATACAGATGGTTATCTTGCTAGAAGAACTGCTAGACCCTCTCAGTTTGAAGTTGCTTGGACTAATCATGCTGATTTCAAAACCTTCTTGCAGGAAAAATGGGAGTCAACTGATAGTCTCCCAGTTAGTTTAAAATCCATCCCTAGCTTGTTGTTGAACTGGAACCATTGGGTGTATGGAGATATCATTTAGAAAAAAAGAATTCTTGTGGTGAGAATTGATGGTATTCAAAGATTGAATCAGTATGGGGTCAATCTTTTCTTAGACAGACTAGAGAGAAGACTACGTTTTGAACTGGATAATATTTTGGAAAAAGAACTGCTGTTATGGTTTCAAAAGTTCCGTAGTAAATGGTTAGTGAAGGGTGACAAAAAACACCAAGTTTTATCATTTGTAAATCGTCACCAAGAGAAGGAGAAATAATATTGTCATGCTCAAAGATGAAGATGGTAGATGGAAAGATGAGAGGGATGAAATCACCAAGATGATTACTGACTTCTTTAAGAATCTCTTTTGTGAAGAAATCCCTAATAGACCAATGTTCAAGACGAAATACTCTTTCCCTTTTGTTCAGGAATCTAGAATGAGTCAGTTGAATTTGATACCTGACTACAATGGAATTAAGGGAGTCTTTTTTATGTAGGTGTTTTCAAAGCTTCGGGAGAGGATGACTTTCAAGCTTTCTTCTTCAAAATAATTGGGAGATTGTAGGACAATCTATTTGCAAGTTTATTTAAGATGTTTGGAGTAACCATTGCTTGATCAAGGAGGTTAACAAAACTCTTATTTGCCTTATTCAGAAAGTTGATAATCCTGAATTTGTCTCACAGTTTAGACCCATTTCTTTATGCAATGTCATTCATAAAGGAATTACTAAACTGTTAGCTAATCGTTTGAAAGCTCTTCTCAACAACATTATATGTCCTTTCTAATCTAGCTTTGTGCCTGGGAGACATATACAAGATAATATTATGGTCGCTAAAGAGATTACCCACTCTATGAGAAAGATGAGAAGGAAAAAAGGCTTCATGATTATCAAGGTGGATCTTGAAAAAGTTTATGATCGCATCAGTTGGGATTTCATTAGGTGATGTCTGGAGGAAATTGATTGCCCTATGGAATATGTGAACCTTTTGATGTCTTGCATTTCTTCTACTCAACTGGATATTTTATGGAATGGGAATAGAACTGAGAATTTCATCCCATCTAGGGGGATTAGACAAGGTGACCCCATATCCCCTTACCTTTTTGTCTTGGGCATGGATAAACTTTCCCATCTCACTGCAGAAGCAGTGGAAAGTAAAGGATGGAAACCACATAAAGTTGGAAGAAATGGTCCCATTGTCTCTCACCTTATGTTTGTGAATGATCTCATTTTATTTAGCGAAGCGTCTACGGTACAACTTTACCAAATGCAAAAGATCTTGAATGCTTTTAAAAATATGTCTTGCTTTCGTGTTAATGTGGCAAAAACTAGTATACACTTTTCTAAGAATGTTACAAAGCATGATAGGGACCTTTTAATCGAGAAGAGTAGATTCAAACTGGCTAAACATCTTGGCCGTTATTTGAGAGTTCAATTAAAAGGTAGGTGCAACAAAAAGGAACTTTTTCATGAAGTTGTTGCTAGAGTTCAATCCCGTTTAAGTTATTGGGAAAATTCAAAACCTCTCTATGGCAAGAAGAATAACCCTTGTGAAATTTGAAAGTTCAACCATTCCTTTATACCAAATGCAGTGTACTAAAGCTCCTTTATCAACTTGTCAACACATTGAAAGGTTGCAGCATAGTTTTATATGGGGTGATCAAATTGAAAAGAGAAAAGTTCACTGGGTGATATGGAGCACGTTATGCAAGCCTAAAGATCTGAGTGGTTTGGGCATTAAAAATCTCCAGCTTATGAATGAAGCCTTATTATCAAAGGTGGTGTGGGAAATCCTTAATAAACCCAATGACCTATAAGTCCACACTCTATGAGCAAATAGGGGGGGCAAGGATCTAATGGAAGGAATTATTGTTAAAGACTTGGACTCTTTTCTTTGGAAGACCCTGGGAGCTCTATGGTCGAGGGTACTTACCTATATCGGATGGAACCTTAGCAATGGTGAATCACCTAAATTTTAGACGTCATCTTGGATTCAAGGAAAGCCTCCCCTTGTCACTAAAGCTACTCGAGCTATCACTGCTTTGGAAGTTGATAGAACAATGACCTCTTTTGTCAATGAGAATGGAAGCTCGAACTTTAGGGAATTGTCCATCGCCCTCCTAACTCTCGAAGTTAGCAAAGTGTAGGTTATTCTATCCCCTATGTCTTCAGATGTGCTGATTTAAGGTGCTAAAGTCTTACAACTAATGGTAGGTTCAATATTAAATCATGTTACAACCTATTCATGAGTTGGAATACTCAAGAAAGGAATGGAACTTGGAAACAACTTTGGAAGCTCAAAGCCCCTCAGAGATAGCTCATCTTCATGTGGAGAGCTATTCTTGACCGTTTACCCACAAATGTACAAAAGAGAAAATGTGTTGATTGTGATGATAGGTGTGTTGTTTGCTTGGAGGGTAAGGAAACAATCCTTCATATTCTAAGAGGTTGATGCAATTCTCGGAGGATCTGGAAGCAACAGGTTCACAACTCGAAATGAAGACTTCTTTATGAACTTTGATGAGTGGATCAGAACTAACTTACAACAAAGCATGGGTCATGAGAGCATTTAGTTCTGGCAGATTAACTTCATCACCACTTGTTGTCACCTCTAGAAATGGTGGAATAGTTGTTTATTTGAGGAAGGCTTCCTAGATCCTCTAGACCCATGTTAGTCATCAGCAATTATACAAGATCTATTCTAAAGGCTTTATGCGAGTTGGGAAGTAATGGAAGATATCATCACAATATCACAACCTATGTTCAATGGCGAACACCACCTCTGGGGTAGGTGAAGTTAAATACGGATGGGGTCTCAAGTTCTATTAAAGATCGAGAAGGTGGAGGGGGATTGCTGAGAACAAATGAAGGACAATGGATCTATGGGTACACTAGGAATATTGGGAGGTGTTCAGCCTTAATTGTTGAAGCTTGGGCAATTTTAGATAGGTTGGAATTAGCTTGGAAGCTAGGGTTCAAAAGGATTGAGCTTGAAAGTGACTCCTTAACTCTAGTTAATTCTCTTTCTTTCCATGAATCACAAGACTCGTTGGAGAAACAGGTTATAAAGCGCATCAAAAGATGGTTACGTGAAGATTGGGAGATTCACATCCATCATGTTTACCTCGAAGGCAATAAATGTGCTGATTTTTTAGCTAACCTTAGTTTCAGTTTCGATCCTGAACTTTACGTCCTCGAGTCTGCTCCTTTTGGTATTGATAGACTCCTTAGGAATGATGCTTCAAGGATGTTTTCATCTCGTAGTCTTTGCTTAGATGTAGCTTTTATGCTATAATTGTTTTGTTTTGGGCTTCGGCCCTATCTTTCACCAAAAATAAATAATTACAAATAAATTACATTTAATTCACATACAACTATCAAATAGCAATAATATGTCATATTTATTATTTACTATTAATAATAATCTTTTAATAAGAGAAAAAATTATTTGTTTAGAACCTTGGCTGTATATATTATTATATTCTAATGGTTTTATTTCATTTTTCCCCTATGAGATCGTTTAGAATAAACTTATTTGCTTTGTTAAAAAAGTATTGAATGTCCCTCATAAGGGTTTTCTGATAATGTTATAAAGAGGTGTGTGATATTTTTAAGAGATTTTTCTTTTTCTTTTTAACAATGATAGGGCTTTTTTTAACTTTCCAAATGAAGCAGATGAGACAATATCATTCAGGAGATTATATGAATGTAAACACCTATGTTTATCTAGAATTTGATAGTGGAGTAGAATATGTTCATCAGAACCCAAGACATTTCATAAACTGGAATATGAAAGTGAATACCCATCGCTCCCCTAAAACTTTGTAGCCCATGTCAAAGTTTTCGCAAGATCCCTAACGCTGGGTATCCCATGAATCAATAAGCCTCACTGCTCTATAGACCCAAATGGTACCTTGTCAGTTTTGGGGCCGTTTATAAAGAGCCAAAGTATTCAGGCCCACCCCAAAGCTTTCGCAGTATGCCTAATGTTGGTATCCTATGAACAAATGAGCCTCATCGTTTAACTAAACCCTAAACCTCTGTAGCCCACGGCAACATCCGCAAGCCCACGTCAAAGTTTTATGAGGACACCTAGATCATAATTCTTTTATTTTTATAATTATATGAATGAACCACAAATCTGTAACTCTAAAAAGATTTCTGAATTCTACTTTAGAATTCTAATTGAACCACAAATCTACTGCAGTAGCTCCTGGAAACACTGACCAGTGTTTGTGTCCTAGTCAAGGCCATGTTGGGTTTGTTGATGAAGGCAAGACATTTTTCTCACCACAAACTTTCATAATATCAGAAGTATGACCACCAACTACACCTTCACTACGCAAAAAGATACAAAAAAGAAATATCAAAACAAACCATAAAAGCTCCAACTCCAAAAATCTGCAATTTCCCAATACTGCATAAAACAAAAACAAGTTTGGCCTTCAATTCTATCACACAAACACTACATTGAAAACACTCTTGGAATCTGCCTCCAGGGCAACAATATGCAGCTGTAGCACAAAAACAGTCAACATCACAATTCAGCTGTACCAAAATATTCTGCATTTCAACCAAATCCAGCCAATATGCAAATTTATATTTAATGAAATCAACCTCATAATATGCAAATTTATATTCAACAAGAATGGATGGATGCTTCTGATTACAACATTGTAATAAGTTTTAATTGGCCCATTAAAAATAAAAATTGCCAAAACCAAAACTACCATCAAAGACAGCTTGCATGAGCATATCTCTATCACCAAGTCCTGCTTCCAACAAACAAAAATTGCCAAAAGCTGCTGCATTTTCAACCAAGCTATATAATTTCCTCGGCAACAACACAATTTTATGATGAAAAGCCAACAATATCGTCAATGCATCGACAATTGAAGGGCTACAGTTGACTTTATAGTAGATTGAGGTTATGTATTAGTTATGTTGAGCCCAACTCTAAGCCCAATAACCCCTCTCTTCACAATCTCCACAAACACTTTGCTTTCCCTCTCACAACCCAATCTTCTTCTTCTTCTTCCTCGCCGTTGCCACCATCCCTCTCCACAATCTCCAAAAAACCCTCTCACAACCCAATCTTCTTCTTCTTATTCTTCTTTCTTCTTCCCCCTCTCTCTACAATCTGCCACCAACCATTTTGAAAATACCTTTGCTGAACAAAACAAAAATTAATAAATCAATAAGAAATCAACATAATAATGAGAAAAGCATAATAATAAGAAAACTGAGAGAGGTGAGTGCTGAGAGTGAACGAAATGACAGATACAAACCTTGTAGTTCTAATTTACTTGTAGAGAGAGCTAAGAGAGAGGTGAGAACTCTGAGAGTGAACGAAATTGCTCAAACTTGCAAAGAGAGATGAGAGAGTGGTGAGAGCTAAGCGAACGAAATGAGAGATGTAGGTTAACGGATCTTTTGATGACAGTGGAAAATAAATTTTTTATTAAGATTCGCTAACACTAACCCATAATCTTTATGCCGATTACATTTTTTAATATAAAAAACATCAAACCAAATATAATATATCATACCAGCGTTAAAGGCTCCTTCAATTTGATGATGGATTCACAAAACACTTCAAAGTAGATTGCACTCCCGGTATCCACACGCAGACAGGAGTACCGTCATTGAGAAACTTCTAGGCTAGGAAGAGCACTCAACTATAGGAACTATTTTCTACATAATTTTTCTTTAAGAGAAAAATACTTCTTCTCACAAAAGGGGTGGTGTTTTTTAGAGTGAGGTGGCTAGGGTTTCAATTTTGCAACTCAAATCACTTAATGATTTAATTTTTAGTTGCACTTAGATAGTGCAGACTAAAATCCTATTCCGACTTGGAATAGCCATCTATTCCAATTGGAATAGCCAACAACTTATTCCACAAAGAAATAGATTCCCTTTACAACCCAAACATGGCATTTCAATTCAAATTTAAAAACCAAAATTTGAATTTCATATTATCAATATTAATATTAGATAATATCCATTATATTTAAATTCAATTCAATTCAAATTTAAAAACCAAATTTGAATTTCATATTATCAATATTAATATTAAATAATATCCATTATATTTGAATTCAAATATATATATATATAATCTCACTAATTTAATTTCCATATGAAATTAAATTTAGGCAACAACTTCAGCAAATTTAATTGCACTGTGAGATTACAAAAATGCCCTTTCATCATAAATGACGAAAATACCTCTCTCACGCATTATGTTCTTAATTAGTCTTCTATGTGTACGACCCGAAGGCCTCTCATCGTATCGATAGTGAATAGTATTGTGATTGACAATTAATCAATCGTCTCACTCGACACAGACCAAGATTGACCTCTAGCCAGGCATCATAGCAACCCAATAGATTCAGATTCAGCAAAACTGCTACCTATCAACGATATGGTTACCGTGCAGTTCAATCCTTTCATCATCTATTATCTCATCAATGTCGAGGCACAAAAGTAGTGTCAACCTCAGATATCTTTGATATCTTGATATTCGGTTATTGGACCAACGACTAGAATAGATTGGATTGAGCTACAACTCAATCCCACTGTGGCCACAGATTTAATGTTGTTGCCATCTACTGAATTACTCGGTGAGATAATTTCTCCTGTACCTGGGAATGATGAATCCTCTATCGATCCACCATAGTCTCGATACACTTTTCAATGCAACCAATTTCTACTGTTCTAATAGTCTTGAGATGACTACATTGGGCTAGTGTCAAACTACACCAGTCAGTGCACAAGGCGTTCCGATGATCTCAAGTCTAAGGATCACATGCATCGCCATTCGTTGGAGGATTTGTTTCACAGATAGTGGGGTAACCATCTATGTGGAATCCTCTGGTGGATCAATCTAGTGAACTTACCTACAGCAAACACCCATGTGTTGCACTAGATTGTCACCAAACAACCTTGACAAGTGAGATATGTCACTACCTTTCGATAGGGTCGTCCAACATTGTGATAGTCTTACCGTATTATCTATGCCCTAGGTCAGGATCATACTAGGGCTACGGACGTTTCCAGGATGGCCACCATATGTACTCATAGGGTTCTCACTATTGAGATTTCAAACACTTGATACCCTCGTCACGGTCCTACCATCCTAAGGACATATACCATTTTCTTATACGAATATAATCAGATCACATGATATAGATAAATGTCTTTATTGATAATAAAACATGATTACAAAGAGTAAATTTACAAAATAGGATTGGCTCTAAGGCAACTACTCTAACAGCCACCCCCCTCCACAACTTCTTCGTCTTCTTCTTCGCCACCACCCCTCTTCACAACTTCTTCTTCTTCTTCTTTTTCTTCTTCTTCTTCCCCCCTCTCTCTACAATCTGCCATCAATCATTTCGGAAATACCTTTGCCGAACAAAACAAAATAAATAAATCAATAAGAAATCAACATAATAATAAGAAAACTGAGAGACAGTTGAGAGCTAAGAGTTAACGAAATGAGAGATACAAACCTATAGTTCTAATTTACTTGCAGAGAGAGCTAAGAGAGAGGTGAGAGTTGAGTGAACGGAGTGAGAGATGCAAACCTGTAGTTCTAATTTACTTGCAGAGAGAGCTGAGAGTGAACGAAATAGCTTAGACTTGTAGAGAAAGGTGAGAGCTGAGTGAACAAAATGAGAGATGCAAACCTAAAGTTCTAATTTTTGTTTTTTTTTTTTTTTTGGAAATGGTATTTAAAGGTTTGACCTTTGCACACTTTTTCCACCCCCTATCCCACCCTCCACCTAAAACCTAACAATGAAGATGAAAAGGCAATATTGTCAATGCATCAGAAATTGAAGGACTATAGTAATATTGAAATGATGTGACTATATAGTAGATTAGGTCTATGTATTAGTTATGTTGAGCCTAACTCTAAAACTAATAACCCGCCGCTCCATAATCTCCGCAAACACTTCGCTTCCCTCTCACAACCCAATCTTCTTCTTCCCCATCACTCATCTCCATAATCTCTACAAACCTTCTCACAACCCAATCTTCTTCTTCTTCTTTGCCGCCACCCCTCTCCACAACTTCTTCGTCTTCTTCTTCGCTGCCACCCCTCTCCACAATTGCTTCTTCTTCTTCTTTCTTTTTCCCCCTCTCTCCACAATCTGCCACCAATCATTTCAGAAATACCTTTGTCGAACAAAACAAAAATAAATAAATCAATAAGAAACCAACATAATAATAAGAAAACTGAGAGAGATGTGAGAGCTGAGAGTGAACGAAATGAGAGATGCAAACTTGTAGTTCTAATTTACTTATAGAAAGAGCTGAGAGAGAGGTGAGAGCTCCAAGTGAACGAAATAGGCCAGACTTGCAGAGAGAGCTAAGAGAGAGATGAGAGTTGAGTGAACGAAATGAGAGATGCAAACCTGCAGTTCTATTTTTTATTTTTATTTTTAGAAATGTTATTTAAGGGTTTGACCTTTGCACACTTTTCCACCACCTGTCCCACCCTCCACCCAAAACCCAACAATGAAGATGAAAAGGCAATATTGTCAATGCATCGTAAATTGAAAGGCTACAGTAATATTGAAATGATGTGACTATGTAGTAGATTGGGAATATGTATTAGTTATGTTGAGCCCAACTCTAAGCCCAATAACCCCTCTCCACAATCTCCACAAACACTTCGCTCTCCCTCTCACAACCCTATCTTCATCATCATCATCATCATCATCATCATCATCATCATCATCGTCTTCTTCTTCTTCTTCTTCTTTATCGCCACCGCCACCACTCTCCACAATCTTCACAAACCCTCTCACAACCCGATCTTCTTCTTCTTCTTTGCCGCCACCCCTCTTCACAACTTCTTCGTCTTCTTCTTCACCATCACCCCTGTCCATAACTTCTTCTTCTTCTTCTTCTTCTTCCTTTTTCCACAATCTGCCACCAATTATTTTGGAAATACCTTTTCCACAACTGGAGATTTCCTATAATTCTTAAACCTTAATCGCATTTACACTTTACATAACCTAAATTAATTTTCAATTGGATTGTAAAATATCAAAACGATCCCCATAATTTATTAAAATTTATTTTATACTCAGTTCTAGGTTCCAATTCCGATTTCAATTCCTGAAGTAAGGAACTGGAATTGGAATTGGAACTGAACAGTGTCGATTCCTCCACTCTAAGAACTAGAACCTACCCTATGAGGGCTGATTCCGATTCCTACCCTAGGTTTGATTCCGGTTTCGACCGGTTCTTTTGCACACCCTTAACTAATATATTAAATGGAGATATAAAAAAAAATGTATAAAATAAGGATTGAGAAAGTATATCATGACTCATGAGTAATAAAAATATAAAAGTTGGGGTTATTTTGTTAATGAACGAGGTTTATTTAAACATTTAGATATATTTAAAAAATTTAACATGATAAATATAGAAGTAGATTTACTAAGATAAATTATGGCCGCCAATAGCATTACTATGATTTATAAGTAAGACTTCTTATAAGATTTTTGGGCACTTTTACCCCTTATCTTTCACACTAAATTACATGAATACCCTTACTTCCATGAAAATGAAAAGAATTGTTTATTTAAGATTGAAATGTAGAATATTAGGGTTTTTTAAGTGATTTTTTGAAAGAATTTAGTGTT